AATGAGCAAGTCTTCGCGAAATAAATATTCTATTTAAGTTAATGATTGCAGCATAGTAAAGCTGAAATCTTCTCCAAAATTGTTGGCGTGTAATGCAATTCGTGATAAACTTCCAAATGAGCAAAGTCTTCGCGAAATAAATATTCTATTTAAGTTAATGATTGCAGCGTAGTAAAGCTGAAATCTTCTCAAAAATTGTTGGCGTGTAATGCAATTCGTGATAAACTTCCAAATGAGCAAAGTCTTCGCGAAATAAATATTCTATTTAAGTTAATGATTGCAGCGTAGTAAAGCTGAAATCTTCTCAAAAATTGTTGGCGTGTAATGCAATTTGTGATAAACTTCCAAATAAGCAAAGTCTTCGCGATTCCAATATTGGGCAGTTTACCAGCGTATAGAATCTAGTTATACATGTTGGCATCATTGCGTCATTTTACTTAGACCTACAGTAAGTAGCAAAATTTTCTACTCTTACCTGTACCGCACCACGTGCATGAACTGAATGAACATGTAGATGCACTATTTTGGATGGCACTGGTTGGCCATACGAATAGAAGTTAAAATAGAGAGATCGAGGCCTATATAGTTACACAAAAAAGTTCCTAAATTTTCAATTCGATAATGCTGTGAAGGCTAGGATAATATAGACGTAGAATGATCACCGTAGTTTAGGATAGTTCGCATTTATAATTATAAGAGTTACGCTGTAAATTGGAAAATAAAATGTTACCTGGTCATCTCTTTGTAGTGTGTCATCGATCGGCTTTGCAAGTACCGTCCATCTTAGAAATCTTCTACCTACCTTCTGATAGAAATACTTCACACAGAACTGCATACTGCAAGCGAGAGCTGTAGTGCAAAAAAATTTGCAATTCTCAATTTATATTGTCTTACAGCGACTAGCGTAATTTATGTGTACAATGATCGCAGCAATATGGGATCATTCGTAATACTTCCCATTATAATTATAAGAGATATGCTATAAATTATAAAATAGATGTTAGTCATTCCTTCTACTGTACGTATTATGTCAATGATTAGCTTTGCGATATATAGGATCCTTTATGATTCACCCAATCCTTATCCACAGTTCTGAAAATTTTTGAGCCTTCCACCTATACCCTACAGTATGTTGCAAATCGGAACTAGAGCGGGGGTAACAGATTCAACCTTAAATTGCACTCTACGAAAGATAGCATTAATTTTAGTATAGATGCATTACGCTTCAGATCTGATGAAAGTTACAAATTAGATCTCTAAAAGAGTTTTATTTGCTTCTAAAAGTTGCCAAAGCAGAAAGCTCTGCAAGAGAAAAGCCTATGATAATTTACACCTATCATAAAATATGGTTACTCTTAAATTTTATTACAAACATGCAACAATAGTAACTTCCTCACAAGTTAAAATTTCAAGTATGATGGCTTCACAATATTGAATTTCTATATATAAATTTACTGTTTTATACATTTTTAGACCAAATTATTCAAACTGACGAAAAGTTACAATTTTTTAAGCAGTCAAGTTAGTATTTCGATGAGAAATTGTCCAATTACTTGTTCTCCATTGATCATAAACTACGTTAAAGTTAGCTTTGCCATGGATGGAATCAAGCGAGGGATAACTTTGGACTTTATTTGATATGGTCGATGTCGGATCAAGGTTCAGTAGCTAGATGTTAAAATATGATATAATGGTTCAATCAAAATTTGTACATCAACACCATTCCTAGATTATATTTACATATACTGTGTTATTTACAAGCAGTAATAAACTGTCTACATCAGCTAGATCAGACTGTAAGGAATAATGATGGCTATGATAGTCCGCAATCATGCTTATAGTAGGTACACATTAATCTTGCGAAATGATCAATGGTCTGGATGACTGGATCAATTAAATCAGGTTACAAACGATGATAATCGCTAGCGCATATCTGAATAACAGTATTGTAACGTGCGTTTACACTACACGGTTTATTTTCATCTGAATCTTTTTTAAGGCCTTTGCATACACTACACCTTAAATCATGTTCAAATTGAATAAAATAAGAGCAAGACTGTAGTAGATGTATTTGAGAACTCATAAGAAAATTTGAACTAAATACTGAAGTACATCATGCATAAATGAAATGGGCTAATGTACAGTATAATTATAAGATGCAAAGACAGAATACTACTCTTGTCCAAGTTGCGATAATGGCGTCAATGCCTATCATACGGTAGAAGATAGTTGTCAAATTCCCGTAATGCTTTTCTCAACATCATTTAAGATTGTTTTTTATTTACGAATGATATACAAATAGAACACCCGACTAACAACTTATTTCACGAGGTAGGCGAGTAACAAAATTATATTAGGTTGATTGCTCAAGATTGCTCATTTTGCCAAAAAATGTTAAACTATCTTGTATTATGCATCAATTTAGATACGCATATTGTGCAACGGAATAGATAAAATGCATCTTTTCGCTTTTTAATTTCTACAGGAAATCAATGTAAAAGGTAATAGTCTGTCTCAAGTTATTATAGTTAAATAACAAAGCTGAGCTTTCTTTTTGTGGCTATTAAATTATAAAATTTAAAATGAAAGGCAAAATAACTCAATATAGAAATACAATAATAACTCAATTGAAAGAATAACTTAACAGAATCAATTTAGCAGCGCTGAATCAAACTATTATAATATAAGTACAAGGTATTGTCTACGTAACTTGATTTTTGCTAAAGGGTAGTATTTCTCAAGCTCTAATTATAATATTATATTCTTATGTGTTTAGCCTGATACAGTGAGATAGTCTATTCATTATGATGATGAGTCAATCACTGCTACCCTTTCTTCTACCTATTAAGGTATCAGGCCTTTTAAATGATTTTAATCAGAATATAAGCTAATCATTTATTTCTTACTATTTGCTTTAGCTTATCCAATAGCAATTGCCATTCTTCATAATCTGCTTGTGTAAAAGGCTGTAACAAAAAGCGTATTTTATGACACAAGTAACTCGCATTTCATTTAATAACAAAGACTATAACTGGGCATCTGCCACTTAGAAAGAGCTTCTACAAAATTTTGCGAATTATATTGCATCTATCTAGTAGCTAGAGTCAAAAGCCGAACAAACCCGTTTTGAGTTCCTAGCATGCTCATATTTTACAGCGATGGCTCGACATAAATGGCCACGATTTTTGAAGGCTTTTTTATAAGTACTGGCTAACAAGTAAATATGAGCGGAGATTCTATCACCCCATGGTCTAGCTACTCTTCTGTTATGCTTCAGTAAATGCTGATCTTTACGATTGAAATGAATACTAAAAAATCAATTCTAAAGACAAACAATCATTACAAAAATTATAGTATACTTTGCTTAAATTTTATCGAATTGCTGTCTAAGGAAATAATTATCTATAGCAACAATTGTACGAATTATTACTTTATTTCATGACCAGAATTAACTTACTTAAAATGATTTCATCGTTTATTGCTTTTAGTCTATAACGATAGCCTATTGAATATAATAAACATAGTAGATTGTGATATCCTGCTCAATCACAAGCATACAAAGTGATCTTTTTTAAAATATTTTAGAAAGCAAACAAGAATTTAGTGTGGATATTACCTTTAATCGAATCTGCATCTTCAAAGAATAAAGGTTCGCGACGTGTGGAAACAGTAACTGCTATGCCTAATTTATCGTTAATTTCAGCCTTAATGCTCTACAATTAAATGCAAAAGTTTCATTCACTGTATATGAGCTTGTAATCCTCTCAATAGTTGTTGTAAGATGTTTATAATTTAAGATATTATACTATGCTGCTTCACACAAGTACCGGATATTATTAGATCAAACAATAAAATAAATTCACTTACTTTTGATCCAGTATCTCCAACTATATCTATGGTTTTAATCCCTTGGCTGATTAATTTAGAACGTCCTCTAAGTCTTATTACCATCATACATATGCCTATTGCAGCCTAAGATTTTTAAAATATACAGTATCGAGAATTATTTTACGTGACAGTAAAAGTTACTATTTTTTGTTGTGTGATAGTATATATTCAATAGCAAACCGTAATAATGACTGCCGCTAGGATAATTCTAAATCTAGCGTCTCCTAAAAATTCTAGATACTGTATAAATCTTTCAAAGTTTTCATCGGTATCCGAACTCATCACGTTTGTGGGAAAATTTTATGATGAAACTATAGCTATAGCAATAATGATTTCAAAGTAATCGCATCATAAGATCGGAAATTCCTTTATTTCTTATGCCTTGTAGTAATTGGTGGTTTTTCGAATATTACGTTTATATTTCTGAAATTTCTAACAATATCGTATAACGAATAGATGTGCTTGGCCAATCACGGATAACATATATTAATTAGTAACATATTGTACAGGGACATAATTAAATCTACTGGGATCAACAATAACTTATATTACATCCATCAGTAGTATCTGATGGCTCAATCGACACAGAATGGCCGCCTCTTACAGCTGAAAATTTGTAAGTAAACATAGCTGGCAATTTATAAACAGTACAAGCCCATTATTTATGCTCTCTCGGTGAGCTAACTTTGTATGACTTATGAATGTTATCTAAAGCGATGAAATATATAAAATTGTATTTTACGAGCTCAGCACGCCTATAGATAGTTGTTGCTAATATAATACATAATGTAATAATATCCGTTAATAAGTTGCTTTCTATTTCATTAAGAACATTACTTTAACCTATTGGCAAAGTAAAACTTTTATATTTTTCACCAACTTTTACTATTACAATTTCGAGAAGCAAAATTTACAAAAGAACACTTAAATTACAGCCAGATCCAGCGATCTTTATCTATACGTAATTTTCATAGTTATCTGTACAGTACAATAAAGTTCCATATAAATATCTATATAAAAAATTCTCATGCTTAGACAAAAACAGCGTCATCTTTTGAACTGATGCCAGTGACTACGACATGAGCTGAAGATGAGGAATCATCATCTTTGTTGCTACTTCGACTAGTGGACTTATTTTTCGGTGAAGAACTGAGTCGCTTTTTATTCCTCGTGATATTTATGCCTCCAGAGGAAGTAGATGGTTGGGCGTTATCTTCTTCAAGAGTTGTTGTTTCAGTAGTTTTTGGCGCATGAGGAATGCTAACATCTAAGTCACTAGATGAAACATTTGCATCGACTTGCTTAATTCTTCTTATCTACGAGTATAATAATTAAAATGCATTAGATATGGTATTGAAGTCCATCTTCAGCTTAAATGACTAAACTAAAAGATTAAAGTCTACGTCATTTTATGGATATCACGTTATCTCCAGTTAAATACTAAAAAGGCACAACTATACTGATATGATATTAGTTACCAATTTTATTAAATAGTCCAACAGTCGATGAAACCGATCGTATTCCCTACGTCCAAATGGCTGTAATAAATATCACAGGGTTACTTACAAGTTAAACATCTCCACGACTAGAAAGCTAATTTACCTTGGCAATAAATCTTGCGTGTTCGTATATTGCCGATAGAGCACTGTATAATGCTTCACGTCCATCAAAAATGCTGGGATAAAATCGCCTTAAGAGGCTTAGATGCTCTCGAAAATCTCGACCTACGGGACGTAATAGATGACCATCCATTTCGAGAAAGATATCATCTAATGCAAACCATCCAATCACACAGTAATTCAAAGTCCTATTTATTATAGTCTATATCTATCTGTATAATTTAAGTAAATAAACTTACTTAAGGCAACCACTTCATCTAGCACTTTCATGCGATAATGATGATCTAGAAAAGATTATACAGTTGAATTGATTTTTTAAAGCTTTGAAACTATTGTTTGCTTGATAACTGGACTATAACGTCTTATTCTTCATTATAGAGGAGATGAATTTCGTATCACCAATATAACACGCACAGAATAAGATTACTGAAGACATACGTGTATATGCTAAATCAGCCGAAATATTTATTATAAGTCAATACCTTTCGTAGGCTGCATGTCACGTAACAAGGACGGTTCACACAGAGATTGGACGGTCCTCTCTAAACTGTTCTGTATTCCTTTTCGCATCGTCTATTTTATAAGTAATCGATCAATGCTAACACTAATACAAGTGATATCTGAAAAGCATCTAATTAAATTACTGTACATATTTGGTTAAATCTACTTCATTAACTACTTTACTTTTTTATTTTATTGCTAATTAATTTACTGCCAAAAGGTTATGCAGCCTACATCAGTCATTAACATCGCCTTATATGGAGTAAATAGTCAAATTTTGAATAGTCATTAATGACGATGTCTATTCTGCATGGAAGTTTCCGTGCGTCAATGGCAGACATAACGTAATATTATCCGTCAGCAGTTTCCAAGGCAATATTTAAGGTTCGCTTCTACGGTACTTTAATCATACCTTAACCCATTAGTTCTCATCAATACTACTCGTATATACTACAGTATGTTACGTTGAAGTATAACTTGATGATGCTGTTTAGCTATACGTATTTGAACGGTATTTTGGCAGCAGTAATACAAATCTTGCGATTTGTAAGACTTTAAAACAGATCAGTATCAGTCGTTATGTGGGTCATTGTATGATGGATATATCGTAAATTCTGCAATAAAAATCCAGATCGAATGTACTTACTTTAGCGGCATCAGACCCAATGATCGTGTGCGGTTTTCTTGCGTTAATCAAGACGAAACGTTGTCGAACACGAAGAATGAGGATCATCACTTCTAGTCCACCCTATCAATTCATTTACAATCAAATACAGAAATAAATTATCCAAAAATCAACCCTTAAAATGCTTCTATCCCATTCTGTTTTCGAACTTGTTTGTTATTACATCGAAAAATCGATGTAGGATTTATTCTAATTATGATTATTACGAATATATACGCTATCTGATTTTTATAGAGGAAAAAGTTTATGTTCAAAATGATTGGCATTCTTTCCAAATCCAACGCATCTACTTTTAACATAACTGTACAGTACAAACACAAGCCTGTAAAAGATCAGTTTTTATCATTACCATAATAATCATAGCAATAATGAAGACTCCATATCGGCGATTGTAGATATCAAAATTGCTACTGTCGGTGGTGGTTGCCGTAGTTGTATTGATTGTAGACATGTTGGAATAGCGGATAGTCGTAGGGCTCCTTCAAGCTAGGCAAGACCGACCACCCACCCGAGTAACACTATCCACTCTGTTTCCCGTTGGCTAGACACTAAGTTCTTTAGGCCTTCATGTAGTCACGGTACGGTACGGTTCGAGTAGGGTACTAGTTCCGGTCGAAACGACCCGCAAGAATCCAAAGTGGCCAGTGTCTTACCCTTCCAGTACCGTATGATACGAACAGTACTGTGTCATACTGTACTCAGTATTCCAGTTAGACCCGAGTCCAAGCTTTACGTCATTGCTCAGCAGATTGGAGTAGATGGGCATTAAGAGTTTACTTGAATGCCCCCATTTGATTTTCTCCATGGCGTAATTGCAATCAAACTGATTTCCCACATCGATAGCCGGAATAAGCTTGAAAAGAGACTATAGCTTATTCTATTACTGTATTATACTGTTTTAGCTAACGAGTATTCAATCGAATTGAAGACGGTAGGTTGGATAGGATGGAAAATTCAAGGGAAGGAAGAGACGATGAGCGTGAAAATGATTTGGTTTTAACGCCGGCTATGCAAGCCAAAATTCATCGAAATCGAGAGCGTGCATTACAGTTGAGAAAGGCGAGATTAGCCAAAACACCGTATAGTAAAAAAAGCAAAGACGAAAGCGAGAGTAAAGAAATTGATACTGGCGCTGGATTTTTCTTGGAAGTAGTCAATGACTCCGATACTTCGCGTAATAATCAAATCGTAGAAGAACCAGGTGGTTAGATAAACTACTATAATATCTTCTTCATTTATACCAAATACAGAGATGTTTCCTAGTCATTGAATTGATCGGTTTTGTGAACGACTATCGTACCTTTTTCTACAAACATTTCCTTCCTTCAATGTGAGTATGCCAATTTTTATAGTGTTGTTGATCATGCCCTTTTCATGCATTGGATTAGGTCCTATCATTGGATTACTGAAATGTATGAAATGTCAAAAGAACTTTGGAGTATCTTACCTCTATAATAATTTCGAGTATAAAATCTGCGATAACTGCAGGTATTGTTGGAATATTGTTTCTTGTCGTATAGAGATAAGCTATCAATTCTGTGATCATAAGTTTGGATCTACAATCAAAGTCTTATTGTAATTTCATTCTCTCCAGAGATACAGATGGCGAGCATTCGTTGATCACTCGAACAGAAGCCAAACAGGTAAGACTTTACTGTATACTGATTATATGTACGGCCTTGAAAAGGCCTAACTGCACTTTAAGGATTATCCTGCTATCGTATCCCCATTAAGGATATTTTCATATAAAATCATAATACATATTAACTACATTACATCCTCATTGATATTTTTCTTTATCAGAAATACTTACTCAAAGACTGTGACTTGGACATGAGAGAACCAATACTAAAATATATATCCAAAAAAAATCCCCATAATCCTCGTTGGGGCCTTATGAAGTTATACTTATTGTGTCAGGTAAGCAACTGCATAAATTCATTCTATCTTGAATTGAGTAACTATAAAAAAGTGTTTTGTCAATTCTTGATAGCATGAAATAGCAATATAACTTTATTTAAAATTGCTAATCTTTCATAGATCGAAGAGCGATGCTATCAGATTTGGGGGGATGAACAAGGTCTCCAAGATGAATTAATCAAAAGAGCGGCTAACCAAGAACAGTCCAGGCAAAAGAAATTTGACAAGAGAATTCAAGGTCTTTATATCGTCATTAGATAATGATTATACCACAAATTTTCTACTATAAAAGTTGGATGAACTCGTAATAATACAAGTGAACGAGATGAGTTACTATTTGGTGATATTTTATACTTGTATATCTAAGATTTGTCTTATCTAATCTTTGCATCGACTAGCGTTAAGGAAAGCCTTTAGAAGTAGTACGTGGACTAAAAACTTATCAAGACACGAGCATCGATTCGCTGAAGGCCAAGAGATCTACGATGAAAAAGAAAATGTCTGGGTCAAGTCATGTATTGAATGTGACTATCGTGTTTCTTTCGAAAAGATGTGATATGATGCATTACGTTATCATTAGTTGGAAGCTGATTCATGATTCCTATTTCTTAACTTTTTAACAGTCAGTCTGAAATGAAAATCTTACTGTAACTTATAAATACCAGCTTTAAATATACGCATCTATGATGTATATGACATATATATTTGTAAGTGTAATATCTAAACTTCGATAAAACTTTATCACTTCTAAATTATGATTTACTATCTTTTTGTGTATATACGCCTATCATCTATTACAAGGTAGCCGCCGATTACTTTTATTTAGCATTTCATCAAGTAGACTCATCATCCGAAGCATCTTATCATTTATTTAATACTTGTAAGGTGATATACTAGGCTTATGTGGCTGATTGATTCGAGTAAGTTAACTGACTCTACTCCCTCTTAATATGGCTATGATAAATTTAGAATTACTTAAGCATCTTTGACATAATTGTATTGTATAATATACTCGGTACTCAATTGTTAGTACTCATTCTGTTTATGAAAGTTCTTATTTAAAGTTGAAATGATATATTGTATAAGATGTTGCTAAATTCGAGAATAGTAGATCTATTTAAAAAGTTAGGCCAATCTAATCCGTTCTAGATTATATCGATATTTTCATCCAATACCCAACGTTTATAATAAAATTTGTAAAGAAAGCTGAACTTTTATAACGTGTACCAATATCTTAATATTGTCTGTTGTGAAGTTTATCTATGAAGTTTTTTTATGAATTTACTGATGGTAGGCGTTCACTATAACACACGCTTCAGTTGGCTGTTGATAAGATTTGCGAAAGTAAAGTAGAGTGGTAGTAACGATGATTAGCAAGGCTTGCGATGCAAAACACATTATTCAAGAGTTACGAAAGTGAATTACTGTAGTAATAACGACGATGCAAAATACCTTATTCATTGCTATACTGCTATTTTGCAAAATTGCATTTTCTACTTGCACTTTTGAGTTGCAATACGTAAAAATAACCACTTTTCTACGCGTACAACAGTGTTATATATTTGTTTCACATCAACATCTATTGCGCCATTTAAATTATGTCATCTACAGTTTATGAAGAAATTGACAAATAAATTACGATGGTAGACTGTTAAAATTAATTTACTACTACTTGACAAGCAATAGCTAAATTAATGATCAAAAAAATTAAGTGCACTGTACGGGAATCGAACCCGTGTCGCAAGAATGGGAATCTTGCATGATACCACTACACTAACAGTGCGTCAAGCGTAAAATCATGTAATTTATAGTAATTTAAAGGAGCTGACTTTAATACGCTACTGCTCATGCTCGGACCTAGCCGATTTCTAGAGATTCAGTTCAGTATAGCATACTGTATCATACAGTAGCAAAGTTAAAGTAGCTACGTATGATAGCGTCCACCCACTGCTAAGTCTTTTGCACGTGAACGGTCTTGCAGCATTGCTAGCTGCAAGTTGCACGCAACTCTGCAGCTGCGGAAATTATTTCAATTTTAAATATCATCATCGTCGTTAATTCGTCATGTTTCGTTCACGTTCTCACTTCTCACACAGCTGAGTATAGCTGCAGATTAAAATTTTACTCTATAGCTCTTTCACGTGTAGCTGATTAAGCTAAAGACTGCTCAAAAATGAAGCAGAAATTTTATTTCTGAAATTACTCTTGCATCGATTCGCAGGCAATGAATGGCTGCAGTAGTGGGAGCTATTGCAGATATCTTTCTACTAAACACATATTTAGAGTAGACATCTGACAGGTCAAAGTCCTCGTTCAGATGCCATTTGAAGAGGGTTCTACTGAAGTAGTTAGATCTTAAATACATTGACGATGCTGCTAATGAATGCGCACAATACGCATGTCTTTTATTCATCGGCTAGTGCTAAAACTGCGGCTAGTGCTTAAGCATACTGTATAATTTAGTAAATACAACTTGTTAAAGCGCCAATAATAAATGCAAATAGCTGCATCACCATTTATGATATAATAGCACTAGATTTAAACATGACCAATATAAATTCATTTAGCTATCAGTATGGAAAATTGCATATTCATGTTGAACTAAATATCAGTCTGTATCGAAACAAGCTAGAACAGCACTAAAATGCGTGAAATTCAGCCATTCAATCACAAAAATATTGGTATACAGTACGGTATATAAATATAGAAGATAATCCTATGTGTAAGATTTCATACAGTACTAAATTATTCTCTGTACAACATCAATTTTGACATATTATACTGTAATTATCAGCAATTTACTGTTACTGCATCACTGTAACAAATACAGTACAGATTCTAGCATGGAATTTCGAATCCGATTAAAGCGAATTGAGGCCGTAAATTGCATTAGTAGTACTGTACAAATTAGACAACATTTCACTTTTGTATTCATTCCACAATACAATTACTATACGAGTAGATGCGATCAATGACAAGCATCCGTACTGAAAGAGTAGTACTATATCATGCCAAAGTAAGATAACTCCATCATCGTGTACAGTGTATAAGCCGAATTTCAAAATATTTCAAAAAAACTGCATTATTTACGATAGTTATTAAAATCCAGTTTGCTTTTTCATAAGATTTTCCGATTTGATTTTGATTTTGTTCAACTTTCTGAAATAGGCTCTACTACCAGTTTCCAATTGACTTAGAGAAGCTTTGGGTTTATCTAAATCCCATAACCACTCTGGATATTGGCTATCGTCTAGAATGGTTGGGTCCTCGCCTTCTTTAAAATAATTCGCTCCTTTGCATATATCTTTCAATTCTGAAGGCATTTTTAAATCCACCGTCGCAGCTGGCTCATCGCGTCGAAAATTTCTCTTGCCTTTACTTTTTTTCTTGCTTTCTGTAAGTTAAAAAAGAATTGGTTACTAACAAAAACTTTGTGGCAGAGAAGTAAGGAAGTTGATAGTACCTGGTTTTCCAGCCTTGCTTGCAAACTGTGCCGCATTAATTCCTCTGAGTAAAGAAATCGGCAAAGGTCTGATCCTATGCAGCGTGAAACAGACTGCACAAGCACTGGCAGCCATGTTGTAAATTGCAGCAGCTGAGCTTTGCAGACCAGGAAAATGACGATCACCGCGGTCCACTAGTCAACTGTAGTATTATACTATACTACCGTATATCATTTGTACTCTAGTATTTGGCACAGTATACTGTTTTCAGTATTGCATTCTACACTAATCTATGGTTTTGTATGGCGTACACTACTGTACAGAGAGGACATACGGACGTTGAGGCCATCATCCGAGCTAATAAATCGCTGCAAAGCATGGACATGCTGCAGCTTTCCATCTATCGCTTTGACAATAACAAGTTTAGAGCTTAAAAAGAGATCGTTGTACAGTATGAACTATCTCAAGTCTGTGGCAATGTGTTGAGATAGAATAGGGACCGAAATTGACAATAAGAACTGAAGTAAGCTATTGGTAATAATTATAATTATAATCGATGCAATGGCGCAATTCATGCAGCAGCAATTAATGCTATGTGAGGCTCGAGATAGAGGAAGCAGCAAGTGTCGCCTTAATCATGAGATAGTTGCATTACTGGGTAGCAATATTAGGATCGGCAGCTTCTTAAAAATACAAAGTGATCAATGTTCCTTCTTATGTTCGGTTTGGCCTACGAGAAATTCGCAGAATACGATTCTGATCGATCCTATCATGATGTGTGATCGAACGCCACAGCGTTGTACAAATTCACCCTACGATTTTAATGTTTTCAACAGAAAATTATCGATCCCCTGTACCGGCATCAGTTTAATCGAAAGTAGCCCTGCTGAATGGGTAAAGATAGTAATAATCATGTCGAAAAAGCAGTTAAAAAAGCGTTCTTCTGTCAGCGATGATGCTATCCAGAAGTTGATTCATTACTTATTACTGGATAAAGTGATTACAATTGGTACTGTCATGGATTGTCAACATTGGCCTATATCGAAACAGACTATGAAATATATCGAAATTGTCGAGGTCGAGCCTTCATCAAAATTTGCATTAGTTAATGGCCAGACAAAAATTCTGATATCATCATGCGTTAGACTTCCATCGCAAGTTGAAAGGATTAATATTGGTGGCCTAGACAGTGTAGGATCAATGCTAAAGGATTTAGCTAAAGTTAACTTTCAACATTGTCACGAATTTAAAAAGTTAGGCTTACCCTGTGTAAAAGCTGTAATGTTGCATGGCCCTTCTGGGGTTGGTAAAACTTTACTAGTTAGAAAACTAGCTCTAGATCTCGATACTGCGTTGGTAAGACTAAACGGTGCAGATATATATGCAGCATATGAAGGGGAGAGCGAAAAAAATTTGCAGAAATATTTTGATAAAGCTCGCCAAATTGCAAAAAAAGAATGCTGCATACTATTTATCGATGAAGTTGATGCTCTATGTCCAGGTCAAGATAACGACAGCGAGAACGCGAGTGAGGAATATCAGGTGGTGTCTCTTCTGGCTTCTTTATTAGAAGCGGTAAAACGCGAAAATTTGCTATTCATCATAGGAGCAACAAATCGACCGGAAGCCATTTCTCCATGTTTATATGGTCCGTGTAAATTCGAACAAGAAGTAAGAATGTGATACAAGTAATTATCTGCACGATTCTTAAAATGTAATTACTGTATGGGATTCTGAATTTTACTACTTGCTACTTTTTCTAGATTTATATTGGCATTCCCAATGTCAGCCAAAGAGAATCGATATTGCAGCTATATACAAGAGATTTGCACTTAGATGCAGATGTCAATTTAAAGGATCTAGCTGAGATGTCGTGTGGGTATGTCGGCGCTGACTTGAAATTACTTTGTAAAGAAGCCATGTTTATGGGACTGGAAAGAATGGGCAAGACTACAGCTACTATCGATCAGGAGAGTTGTCAGTTATGTGCTAAGGATTTTATTAACGCTATTCATCGAATAGTCCCATCAAGTAGGAGAGCTGCAATTGGAACCGTAGAGCTTAAAAAGATTAGTTGGGATGATATTGGTGGATTAGAAAACATCAAGTTAAAAATTCAGCAGGTAATCTTAAATATCTTAAACATTTAATACCTCTGAATAACGTTGAAATAATATATTGTTTGCTGAATTTTAAAATTGAAGGCTATAGAATGGCCATTAAAATATCCCCAAGCGTTTGCTAGGCTTGGGCTTCCTAGGCCAAGAGGTGTGCTTTTATTTGGCCCTCCAGGTTGTAGTAAAACTACTTTAGTCCGTGCAGCTGCCAGTAGTTGCCACGTCACATTCCTTTCATTAAGTGGTGCCCAATTATATTCTCCATACATTGGCGATTCCGAGCGTGCCATCCGTCAGGTAAACAAAAAGTTATCCCTCAACTATTTCTATGGATTACTGAAGCTCTAAAACTTTGTATGAGGCTGTCAGACAACTGTTTAAGTCTCGTTGTTAGAATGGAAAATGTAGTTGCTTTATTCCTGTGCTCTCCTATATTATGTAGGCATTTCTGCAAGCACGGACTAGCTCGCCTTGCATTCTTTTCTTGGACGAAATTGATACCATTGTAAGTCGAAGGCTTAAGAACAGCAAAAATAGCGTACAAGACCGTGTTCTCTCTACCCTATTAAACGAAATGGATGGTATTTCGACAGCACGCTCCTATCATGGTTAGAACTATCTGCTTTATGAAGCACCCAACATATTGTTAAAAATAATATACTTACAACGCATAATTTTGTATTTGTTAGCAATACCTGAGAAGAAAATGAAGGAAACTGAGCCTACCTTATCAAATGTAAAGGATGAAAGTAGACCTCTAGCGACAGCTATTTCTTCCACAAAGAAATCGAACTATCAAATAGATGATGGTGTCATTGTTGTATGTGCTACAAATAGACCGGATATGTTGGACGATGCTTTATTAAGGCCAGGGAGAATGGATCGTATTATTTATGTTCCTCCGCCAGAACGAGACGAAAGATTAAAAATTCTCAAAGTTCATACACGCTGTATGCCATTAGAGAGCAACGTTGATCTAGCTACGATTGCAGATACAACAAACATGTATAGTGGAGCAGACTTGGAAAATGTCTGCAGAGAGGTATAGCTTCAGAATTTTAAATTCTTACATCACCATTAATAGTGTTAATGTAGTAGTATCAATAGCTGGCCGACAAGTGTATTTAGTTTTTTGATGCAATAATGTAAGAATTTCTCCAAATTGTATTGATTGATATCATTCTATTTAGGCTGCCATGGAAGCAATGAGACACAACGGGGTATCCGTAGAAAAAGTTAATAATCAAAATTTTATTCAAGCTGCGCGAATTATAAATGCTAGTTTATCGATTCCGCAACTCAATGAATATGAAAAATTCTGCCAACGCAAATTACATACAAAGTGAAATATTTATTTAAAATATAGCCTTAAAAGTTGTAATTTTATATCCAAATTTACCAATTGTATATGTTGTACAAAAGAAGTGGACACCCTACATTATCGATTGCGATGTTCTACCTGTATGGTAGTATGACAGACTATTTTAGTTTTCATCTGTTCTATCCATTTGCAAATACAACAACGAAAATCGCAAGTGATTACGAAAAACGTGAAATAGACACGATAAAATCGATTTAAAATTTTCACAACGTACAGTAAATACGTTTTACTTTCTATATATATACACATTGTACAAGATAATATTATAGGAACTAACTAATAAATAAATAAATACCGCGATCTTTTGGCTTGCTTTTTCAGCAACTTTGTTACAACGATCTACGGTTAATTTGAAACAGTAGCTATAGCTGAACATATAGATTATGACTTACTGCCTATCTGTTTACATGAGTAATTGAGTAGTTAATACGAGTACACACACGCCAATGATTTGAGAGTAACTCGAGACAGATCGAAATTTGCTATCAGTCTACTTAATAAAGTTATGATTGCGTAACTAGACTAAGCAAGGTAACATGCTCAGCAATGAGTATTTGCATATACTATTCTAATGTATGAACAGCATGTAGCTGAAATAGGATTAGCAAAAAATCAATTTCAAAACTGTAGCACGACGTATGTGCAATTTTATAATTTCAACTGGTTGATATAATTATATCCACCTTTGCATTTCCTGGTAAAATTCAAATGCTGAAGTGACTGATTCCTCCGCTGAGGATATTTTGTTAGTCATTGGTTGAAAATCGAACGGAGAAACTTCAGAAAAATAATCATTTGGTAAACAATCATCAATATGAGTAATTGGTTCAGTGCTCTTGCGGATATATTTTGTCTTGGTAGCTGGAACAGTTTTCAGCACAAGTGCGGAATCTTCGCCTTCCAGAGGTAGCAAAGAGTGATATCGTTGCTGATTTCTGCCAGTGTTTAAGGCATGGCTTGCTTTACTGTTGACACTTGCTTTGATTTCATCAGTTAAAATAACGTCCGGTATATCAGAATTCTCTAATTGTTTTAACGTATTCCTAATCACTTTCGTCGAATTCAATCGAGGTTGACTGAGTAGAACTTGCCGATGTTGCAATAAATTTCCATTAGTTTCTCCATTATCACTACTCTTTTCTTTGCGTTGGGCAGGAATTTTTGTCGGGATACGGCTACCATTCTTTTCAGTTTTAAGGCTATCATTAGCAAAATTGACATGTTTCTTATTTTCATTGTCATGGCGTGTTACCTGGACACGAATTGGAGTATCTTGACGGTTTACATCTTTAAATTGTTGAATAGGTGCTGGTGGGGATCTAATTTGCGGTCGTTTATTAAGGTAATCGCCTGTTGCCATTGCAGAGGTCTTCATTAAAAATAATTCAATGAATGGAGAAACGGGTTGCAGTAAGAAAAAACTACTACTAGAAGGAATGATTAATGAGTACAACGAGATGCGATGGCAATTAGCAGACCAGGATAATGATAACGTTGAGCTGGAGAGTCTGTCTTGAGGAATGAAATGACCATCAAGCCACGGACATGATTGGAAACATTTAACGATACTTGTCTCTTGTAAGAATATCGAATTCAGAGAAGATAGAAGAGATTCAAGGTGACTAGGAGCCAATTTGTGCACTATGCCGTAAACGGAATATCAGGCTTTCTCCAGCTCATTAATCTTTGGAATCTTGAAGGTTACGTTTTCTAGACCCTTGGCCTCCAAGTTTGATTTATCATCGCTTTCTTTCGTTTAAAATTTCCCGCGTAGTAGTAGACTGTACTGAAAGGTATCAAAAGCTGGATTGGAAAGCTAGATACCAAGCAAATGGAAGAATCTCACACTATTACTGGCTTTCTACTTAGTCTCTTTCAATAGAATGCGACCAGCACCTTTCGCAAAATCACTTAAAGCCAAGCAAATCGGCTGACAAAGATTTTCATAGACTGGCAAAGTAAAACTGTCGAGATAGGCAGAGGTTAAGTAAACTTAATTCAAAATCAATTTCAGTCTACTGTCGAATGTAGTCGAGAGTGTTGCATACTGAGCTCTACAACTACCGTAGAGTACGACAACCCTGTATGGCATCAACACTGGGGGATAGCCAAGTTGCCAGGATCGCGCAGGTACCTCCGGCAGCTTTAAATCTCAGTTTTCCTTGCAAGTCAAAACGATACAAATTGCTGTATCCAAATGACTTGTTGCGGTACTGTGGCACATCCACTATCCATCATACAAGTTTCTACACGAATCGCATCCATCGACTATCCAATTTCATAATAATCCGCCCAGTAGGCAGTTTACTAATCGTATCCATCTACTAATCCAATTTGATAATAATACATGCAGTAAGCTTTGCCTTTGGTAAGCCTATGTTAGTGTTGATCTTCATCTACCTACATTAATCGTATTCATCTACGATCCAATTTGATAATAATACATGCAGTAAGCTTTGCCTTTGGTAAGCCTATGTTGGAGTTGATCTTCATCTACCTACACTAATCGTATCCATCTACTATCCAATTTGATAATAATACATGCAGTAAGCTTTGCCTTTGGTAAGCCTATGTCGGTGTTGATCTTCATTTACCTACACTAATCGTATCCATCTACTATCCAATTTGATAATCATACATGGAGTAAGCTTTGCCTTTGGTAAGCCTATGTTGGTGTTGATCTTCATTTACCTACACTAATCGTATCAATCTACTAATCCAATTTGATAATAATACATGGAGTAGGCCTTTGCCTATGGTATACATGAGTTGGTGTTGATCTTCATCTACCTATTGGAAATCTTGCATATTTAATCCTACTTCTGTCGGCAGCTGAATATTCGAAAGAACTGTAAGTACCGAGTGCACGAGCAGTAGCTTATACTCCTACTGGTTGATTAGCATGAGTACTTTTACTAGAATAGCACGCCAAATCAAGTTCATCCACTTTCCTCAACTACAAATAGATTAATAGTTTAGTCCGGTAATAAACCGGGTACTATCACGCCCAACCATGCTAGTCGATCCTCGAATCTTGGAAGATAGATATCGTTTAATTCGAATCTAATCTGTAAAGATAGATATACTTCTAATCTAGCCAGTAAAGATAGATATTCTTCTAATCTAGCCAGTAAAGATAGATATATTACTAATCTAGTCAGTAAAGATAGATGTACTTGAATTCTAATCGAATCCGTAAACATACGCATGCCTAAATTCGAATAAGTCAAGATACGATTCGAAATGCTTGATTTCTAATCTACCAAGTCATTATAGACATGTTTGAATCCTAATCGAGTAAGTGTAGATAGATGTATTATTCTCATCTAGTCAGCGAAGATAGATACTCGTTTACGTTAACCCTAATCTAATCGATGAAGACAAATACGCTTCGTTCTAATTTAATAAGTAAAGATACTCGTAGATAGACGCGAAGATGCTTTAATCCTAATCTAGTAAGTAAACGTACAAATAAGTAGGTTGTGATTCTAATCTAATCAGTGAAAGATCGACATGCTTCAATTATTCCTAATCGAGTTGGTGTTCCTTTTCTCATTTTACGTCTATGATTCTGATGTAGTCTGTAGTAAAAGATAGATTTTAATCTCAATCTAATAGGTGGCGATAGATACGCTTTTACTTTAACCTACAGTAATAATAAAGTGAAGATATAGTAGGCTTGTTTTAATTTTAATTTAGTAAGTAAAGATAAATATCAATGCTCTTTAATTCTAGCCTAGTAAGTGAAGATATACGTATACATATACTTATTATAATCCAGGAAATGCAGATAGAATATACTTTACTCCAGATCTAGTCAGTGTGTAAGATATACTGCTGTAGGCACTCTTTAAATTATAGCTTTAAAATGCTATTTCAACTCGTTTTATAGTTAATCGATGGTACGTAACCTTAACTAAACAACTTTTCTTGACTAGGAGAACATGATATCCGCTGGACATTTTGATATTGCCATTATTGGTCCTGGTTGCTTTGGTTCAGCATGTGCATACCACTTAACAAAATTATGCAACAAGAAAGTTTGCCTCATCGGCCCTAATGAACCCCAAGGTCCTCGCAGTGATAGTAAAAATTCCGTGTTTGCATCACATTACGATACCGGCAGAATAACTTGCTGCTCTGGAACCAACCCAGTCTCACCTCGTTTAAATCAGAGATCAATCAATCGATACCGTGAAATAGAATCAGAAAGTGGTATCTCATTTTTTAATCCTGTAGGATTTATTGCAATCGGTACAAAGGATAGCGAATTTATTCGAGTTACGGAAAAATGCCTTGATCAATTTAAAATTGAAGCTGAAATATTAGACAGTAATCAACTAACGGATAAATTTCCTTATTTAACCATACCAAGTAATTACGTAGGTATCTATCAACCAGAAAAAGCTGGTTATATTGATATTCGTCGCTGCGTGCAAGCTCAAATTAAAGTAGCCCAACTACAAGGTTGCATTCGTATCGCAGAAATTGTTGAATCAATTGTGGAAAACAAAGATGGTAAATTAAAAATTTCTACAGAAACTGGTCGCTACATTACTGCTGATAAAATTGTTCTAGCAACCGGTGCCTTTACTAAGTGTAAGGATCTAATGGCAAGCTGGAATCGAAAATTAGATTTAGATGTAAGAAGAGAAACAACGGTCAAACTGCAAGTTAATGCCAAAGGCTTACAAGACCTAAGTACAATGCCATCCTTAATTTATGCCGATGCCACTGAACCACGCCATGTGTGCTATATTTTGCCACCTATTAAATACAATGATGACGGTGTTTATTATCTCAAGATAGGCCACGGGTTACATTATAGTAAAAAAATCGATCCTGAAAATCTTGTTCAATGGTATCATGGCTCGGGTGATCCTGACGCTGAGACTTCTCTGAAACAGATATTAAAAAAATTGATACCTCACGACTACTTTACAGCTTCCAAGTGTGATAGTTGTGCTATTGCTCGTACACCTCATCGTTCTCCTATGATTGATAAAGTTGGCAACAATGTTACTATCTTAGTTGGAGGTAATGGTGGATCTGCAAAATCATGCAACGAAATTGGCTACATAGGTGCATTGAATGTTTTACACCGCAAATGGCATTACGATATACCGGCGTCAGTATTTCAGGTTTGTTATGAAGAAAACGAATCAAAGCTTTAAGGTGGTAGTCCCTATAGCTTACTGTAAAAATATCAACAACGCAACGATATTTTCATTATTCTGTTATTAAGTAACGCTGATTAAGCTATGATTAAAAAAAGGAATCCTTCCAATATTTCGAGGATATCCAACTTGCTCTACACATCCAGAACGCCAACAGTCAATACGATATTGGATGAAATTGCTATATCAAATGTGTTGTCTACTAACTCATTTATACAGTATTATGCGCAAAAATATTAACTTATAGCACTTATTGATCAACCATAAGGTATCAGTGCAAGAAAAATAGCCACTACGCTATTTTGGTATTATTTATTACTGGCATAAAAATCTTGATCATAAACCGACACGGTCGTGTTACACATTAAGAGCGCCAAATATTACCATGTGATTTTATAGTCTGTTAACAATTTAAGTTACCCTATGTTAAAATTAGCACTTGATGAAGATATCTTATCAGAAAATTTAATTAAATACTTTATCAATAAACTCATCCATCTTTTGATATGCCACGTTCTATGAATTTAAACAACCTGTGCAAAATACTGGTTCTTTATTTTAGTGAATATATAATATTTCAATAAGGATAATACCTAAGTGATTACATTTGATTATGTTGTCGCTTCGTTATCATCTTTAATGCCAACTGTTGATAGAGAACAATACTTTGTACTGTCCTTTTAAGATGTAAAATAATGTGATGCAATTAATTCTGCTTAAAATAAACGGAAAATTCACTCTTTGGAATATCGTAAGACCAATCATTACTTAATGCTGTTAAAGCACCCAAATGCCCAATTTCGTCTGCTGATTTAGCCGCATGAGAACAACCGCCAGTTAACACAGTAACTCCTTCGTTAACTTCACCAATCATGACATGATTGCTAGGAGTGTGAGTGGAAACGCAATGGTCAGTAACTACAGAGCCATATTCAAATGTTGGCATTAATCGATTTATTGTTTTTACCAAGACCTCCACAAGATTGTCAGATTCAACATTGCGATACCACTCAATAACTTGCTGATGATCATCTAGTTTATCAGAACCAGTCAAGCCATGACCAATCTTAATATAAAATTTTCCATCATCATAACGAATTGGTGGTAGGATATAGCAATCGTAACGAGCATCTTTGCCAGTGAAATAGATGACAGCTGGCATTGACTTCATATCTCGCAAATCCTTATCTTTAACTTGTAGTTTAACTACTGTTTCTTTCATCAATTCAATATCCAATTGCTTTGGGGGATCTGGTAACAACTTTTTAAAGGGCGTAAAAGCACCTGTAGCAAGAATCACTTTACCACTATATAAATAATTTCCCTTTTCAGTGACAATTTTAAATTGGCCACGATCATCTCGATCGACCCTATCAACAATTTCTTTAATTAATGTACATCCTTGTTTTTGAGCTATCGTCATTTGTGCAATAACATGTTGACGAATATTAATGTAGCCACCTTGACTTGGTTGATAAATACCAACGCATGAGGGAGGAAAAGAAAAATAAGGAAATTTCGATTTGAGCTGCTGATGATCAAGCAATTCAAATTCGACTTGCAAAAGTTTGGCACATTCCTTTACTTTATCAATATAGCTAGTTCCTTCTTCAACGACACCTAAATATCCAGATGGAGTATAAAATTGCATATTTGATTTTTCTTCTACTTCTACATAGCGTGGTATGGAACGTTGAGCTAACTTGGCCCATACAAGATCAGGATCTAGAATTCGTGTAATTCTGCCAGCATCGTAATGAGCTCCATACACACTGCGCTCAGTATCTTGTGATCTTGGATGATCGGGTTCATCCGGTCCTATCAAGCAAATTTTCTTCTCACAAAGTTGACTTAAATGTCGTGCACAAGCAGATCCAATGCAACCAGCACCTATGATAGTAATATCGAAAGAGCCCAAATCTGTCCCCATATTGATTTTAGAAGCGATTCTACAGAGTCTATATTAATGTGTGTATCGTATAGTACTACAAATAACGGTTACAATAATCGTTGCAGCACCATAAAATTGAAAACTTTAGATAAGATTATACGTTACAACACAGCACAGTAGTATCAATTTTTGATCCGATTATTTGTTTACAGCACTGCAAAAGTACCGATTTAATATCCGATTTTGTAGATTGCACTATTATACGGGCACAATAGCAATAAAAATACTGTAATATTCACAATTATTGTTGCAACAGTGTTCTTAAAATTAAACAGCTAAATCTTAATAACACGTAGTCACCCGACGATCATTCGATTGCAAGTATTCGAGCTTCGCAAGATTGAAATTTGATGAATCTTCAGTCAGCAGCTACTATCCAGTACTGTAGGTTAATTATTAGCTCAAGTACTGATACTTAGCACTATTCCATTCAATTTACTTGCTAATATCAAATTATTCTAGAAACGATGAGCATCCAGATGATAATTAATTAATCGATTCCAGAGATTAAAAGTAATCTATACGAGTACAACTAGATAACGTGATGGACTATATGCTGCAGTATGCTCGCGTATGCACGATAGAGATTGCTATATACAGTATATTGCCACTCAGTACTATACCGTAATATCAATTTGTATGAGTACTGTAAGTTTACTTAATTTATGCAGTAAACAAATCAATTCATCGCGATAAACTAACGGATTTAAGAGTACTAGAACAGCAAGTAAAAGTAATAGAACGAAAGCCATGGAACGAGTAAGGGCTATTCTAGCTTTATAAAATAACTCATGTGCTTAAGTTATGTTCCTATAAGATTGGTTGGAAATGCTTGCACAGATTAAGCTGATTTAATGTGAATAAGATACGAGAATTAGCATTTCGTAACAGTCTAGATAGTACAAGAGATTTATTAAGATATTTCTTGTATCCAATCCAAATTATCATAAAATTGTTATGTGTATGATTGATTGAATAGAAGTACTAGTATAGTGCATAGACGGAAGATGGAAAAAAATGAAGAGAATAGCTATGATGTTGCAGTGATTGGAGCTGGGTGCATGGGATCTGCTTGTGCACGCCATTTAGCCGAATGTTACAAGGGAATGAAAGTTTGCCTTATTGGCCCTGATGAGCCCACTTTACCTCGTAGTCAAAGCGGTCGCAGCGTTTTCGCTGCTTATTATGACCAAGGAAGAATTACACGACGTTTAGATACTGATCCTGTTTGGTCAAGAATAGCAGATCGCTCCATTTCACGTTATCCATATCTGCAAGAATCAACCGGTATTCAATATTATAGTGAAGTTGGATCGATCATCATTGGACCCAAACAGGATATCATTTGGGGAAAAATCGAAAAGTGTGCTAAAGACTTGCAAATTAATTACAATCGATTAAATAATAAGGACTTAAAGTCTAGATTCCCTTATCTTCATCTCGCCGATGATTATATCGGATTTTATGAAGCCAATTCTGCAGGTTATATTTCTCCTCGAGGTCAAGTCAAGGCAGAAATAAAAGCTGCTATGGATAATGGATGCCAATTAATCAGAGATATTGTTTATCAAGTTCAACGAAGTCAAGATGGAAAATTTATTATTACAACGGAATCCAATCGGGTTATAAGCAGCCAAAAGATTGTAGTCGCAACAGGTGCTTTTACATTATTTAAAGACATCATACCAACCGATATTCGTAAAAAGTTGGCTATTACATGTGGTACTCAAACTGTAGTAAAATTACAAGTAAGCGAAGAAGAGTTAAAAGATTATACTGGTATGCCATGTATTCTACACCGCAACTCTAGTCAACAGAATGGAGATTGGTACTTGTTGCCACCAATTCTTTATCCTAATGGCAAATATTACATTAAAATTGGTCATAGCAAAGATTTTATTCGCGAAATAAACACTTATGAGCATGTATTAGAATGGTTTCATGGCACTGGTGATATTGAAGCAAAAAACACTTTAGTCGACATCATAAATCACTTTCTGCCCCACTTTAAGCCAGTTTCTATAGAATCAGATTGTTGTGCTTATACTCTTACCCCTCATAATCATGTTATGATTGGTAACATCGCAGAAGGTATGGTGTTACTAACTGGTGGTAATGGTCATGCAGCTAAATCAGCAGATGAACTTGGCAGAATTGGTGCTTTAACAATCATGAATGAATCGTGGAATTATGATATTTCCAGTGAAGAGTTTAAATTATGCTTGAACTCATCATGATGTGTTGCATATAAGTATTTTCTCTTAATTTGTCATCTTCTTGTAGGATTATAATAGATAATCGATAAAGATTATTGAACCTTGGATTTGCTCACTTTACCAACTTTAGCTATCGTTAAATTGATTGCCTAATTTAACCTTAAGTTATCATCAATGACTCTTGGAATTACGACATTTCTAGCGAGGAGTAGTAATTATACTTGAAAGCATGATGTGTTGTGTATTACTTTTTTAATAGGTCATCTTTTTATAGGGTTATAATATGGTAATTGATAAATATAGATTAAATTACTCTAATTTATCAACCATAATTATCATTAAATTGACTACCTAATTTAACCTTAAGTAATCATGAATAAATCTTGGATTTCGAAATTTACGGTAAACAATTTAAATTATACTTGAAACTATCATACTGTGTAGTGTTGTATATGATTATTCTTTAAATCTCTTTGCAGGATTGTAATATGATAATTATATAATTGATAACTAAATAATGCTTTAATTATTTTTATCAACTTTAGCTATCGTTAGATTGACTAAATACTTTAGCCTCCAGTTAATAAAGTACAGCGATGCATTAATAATTGATCAATGCTATTTAAATTAGTTATCTTAATTTAACCTACGGTAATGAGCTTAGTACCCTTTTACTAAAGCACAAATACGCGTTGTATTTCGCGGACTATGATATTCGTGCGTAAGTCATCAGTTCGTCTCTAAATTTGTCAATTTAATGTTCCTATTTTCTCATGATCCATTTAAGTAGCCAAAAATAATGGATACGCGGTAATTTACAAGATGCCGTTGTAGTGATGTGCCCCATATTTGATTATAAGGATAGCTATATTTGATTGTGTTAATTGCTATATTTGATGCAGTTAGGTTACTAAGAATAGATATTATCGTAAAGCTAATATTAGACGATTGATAACTACTGTATTCGAAATTTCTGATGACTAATATTAGCCAGTTGACTATTCATATGACTAGAACACTGTCATTGTGAAGATGCCCAACACCGAAAGGTGCTGGACATTGATAGAAGAGCAGTGATATCTTAAGTAGAATGCTTCAGTTTGGAGAAGATAATGATGTTCTATTTCAAGAAAAGTATTCTATTTGATGACTCATGTCTGATTGTAGATTAATTAAGTTGTCATAAATGGGTTTAGTGAAATTATTTCAGAACTGCAGAGATAAACTCACGGAGAGAGAAGAGACTTTACTTCACTTTCGGCTCGGAATACTTTAGATTTTAGATTAGATTCTTGTAGTAATCAATTATTGCTCTACTATTTCTAAAACGTTGTACTAAAAGCTTTTAGAAAATACCATTGACTAAGACAAGTTATTGTGAGACACATTTATTACAGCTGTACGGATGATTTTGGCTCATATGAAGGATGTTTGGGCAAGAATGATAGTCTCTGATAATAATTGTAATCCATCGAATCTGCAACTAGGTGTATGGAATAAATTAAAATTAGGAGCGTCAAAGCTATCGGCTAATGTTATTGGATTAAGACTTTAATACGACTTTAATTAACAGACAAAATTCCGGAGAATATGATATCGCCGTGGCTGATTCATCTACAGTTTAAAAGCAGCTGTAGGTAATGAAAATATGAGCTGAACCTGATCTACAAATTCTATACAGCGCTTTCGTATTGGAAGGCTGATAAAGAGTCCAAGCAGTTCGTTTTTAAGCCGTAGCGACTCTTAAGGCACAAATGCCGAAGAAAATGATATCGTCATAATGAATCGATGAATAATCTACAGTTTAAAAGCAGCTTTAGGTAGTAAATTATGACCTGAAGCTGATCAACCAATTACAGGATTAATTATAGGAGCCTTAACTAACATATTACTACAGCATTGGAAGTCTGGTAAGAGTTTGGGCAGTTCTTAAGCCATAACGACTTTAACATCCAATTATCGGAGAAAATGATGTCATCATAACTGATCGATGATTAATCTACTAATTAAGAGCAATCCTAAAGTAGTAAAATAGGAGCTGAACCTGATCAATCAATTATGAGAGTCTTCACTACAACTTCTGCATTGGAAGGCTGAAATGCAGGAGAAAATAATCTTGTCATAACTGATCGATGATTAATCTACAGTTTTTTAAGAGCAGCTCTAGGCAATAAAATACGAACTGAACCTGATTCAACCAATTTATATAATTATAGGAGTTTCAACTACAATTTTTTACATTGGAAGGTCACTAAGGGTTCAGGTAATTAGTTTTTAAGCCATATCGAATATAACACACAAATGCCAAAGAAAATAATATCGTTATAACTGATCGATGACTAATCTACAGTTTAAGAGCCGCTCTAGGTAGTAAAATACGAGTTGAACCTGATTCGATCTGAGTATCTAGCTGCAGTAGTAGCTAATCCTGTACTCTACCCCTGCAATGCAAAGCTAATCATAATGCTACCGTGTTTATTCAAAAATCGCTAGGCATTTTACAAAATCATTAAATAAAATAACTCATTCTTAATTGACATCTTTCAGTTGGTTTATTCCTGCATAGTAATTTATTCATTTGGAGCTACGTATTGAATATTTCACATTCAGTTCAATACTTTTCATGATTTGCATAGTGCTTTAATTAATTTGCATAGTGCTTTCATTAAAACATAGAGTGCACTCTATTATCCCTTATTTGCAATACATTGCATAGGGACCAAGCATTCGTTTCTTCCATACGTTTTATTATATTATGCAGTAAACACCCATAAATGATTAGTATAATACCGTACGGATTTCATCATTTTAGCTGTTCTAGAAATAGACAGCTATTACTGTTCTATCGCTAGACTTGGTAGCATTAGGCTTGCTGAAACATTGCTTCGACTTCTTCTTCAAGTGGTTGCTACAAGACGGTGTCGATAGCTAGGCATAGCTAACATCGTTGAGCTACGCCAAGTATTACAGTATTCAGTGACAGTAAACTGTTGTCGAAGTGGCGTTGGGCTTGGTGAGAAACTTCTTCAAGCGGTTACAACTAACGTTGGGACAATTGCCTATCGGAGACAACAACTTGAACAACACAGCGAACATTGTAGAAGTACAGCAAGCATTTCTTACTCAGTTACACTAGACTGTTGTCCTAGTAGCGCTTAGCTTGTTCAGCTATTTCTCCTTCAATTGTTGCTACAAGTGTGGTAGAAACGGTGATTATTAGTCTCCATTTTACCATCTATTGACAGTGTCTGACAGCAAGCATTAATTTAAAATTAAACCCTGGACCACTTAATCAAAATGGGAGATCGTCACAACACACTTGGTCACTACGATATCACTGTCATTGGTGCTGGATCCATGGGATCTGCTTGTGCACGCCATTTAACCCAAATTTACAAGGGTAAAATATGCCTTGTCGGCCCTGATGAGCCAACAGTACCACGCCATCAGAGTGGTCGAAGTGTTTTCGCTGCATATTATGATCAAGGTAGAATTACTAGACATCTCGATGCAGATCCGGTATGGTGCCAATTAGCTAATCGATCGATACCACGTTATCGACAATTGGAGAAAGCTACTGGTGTCCAATACTATCATGAACGTGGATTTCTTGTCCTTGGATCCAAAGATGATCCTAAAATTGCTCAAATCAACAAAGTAGCAGAAATGATTGGGTTTAACTACGAGCAATTAAGTTATACTGAGTTAAAACGACGATTCCCTTACTTACAAGTTCCTCATGACTTTATTGGATTATATGAGTCCACTGATGCTGGTTATATCTCTCCTCGTGGCCAAGTAGAAGCGGAAATAAAAGCAGCTACCGATAATGGCTGTACTCTCGTTCGAGAGATTGTCAATAAGGTCAGTAGAAATAACGACGGCGATTATATAATCATCACCGAAACCAATAAAGTTATCACCAGTCGTAAAATCGTAGTAGCAACGGGAGCCTTTACCTTATTTAAAGAAATTATACCGGATGACATTCGCCAACGGTTAGACATTCAATGTGGCACACAAACTGTAGTTAAATTACAAGTCAATGCTGCTGACAGACAACGTTATAGCAACATGCCATGTATGGTATATCTATGCCCAGAAGATCCGATGGAATACTGGTATTCATTGCCTCCAGTTCTTTATCCAGACGGTCAATATTATCTAAAAATCGGTCATGGCGGTGATTTAATTAAAATAATGCCTACTCATAAGGACGTACTTAAGTGGTTTCATGGCCACGGTGATCCTAAAACTACAGATATATTAACTAAAGCAATGCTCAGTGTTCTACCTGGATTTAAGCCAGTATCCATAAAACCTGATGGTTGTGCTTATACAATCACACCACATAGCCATGTCATGATTGATAAAATTACTGAAAATATGGTGTTATTAAGTGGTGGCAATGGATATGCTGCAAAATCTTCTGATGAAATAGGTCGAGTTGGAGCACTGACGATTACCCATGACAACTGGCATTATGACATACCACAGGAAGCTTTCAAGTTATGCTTTAAACTGACTCCAAAACTGTAACCTATTCATAGCGTTCTAACTTGTGCTCAATCTGGATTGCCTTATTTTCCTTCATATTCAAGTATACTGTACAGCATGAGCTTAGTTCTACTTCATTTGAGTAATACTATACTATAGACAAAAGTTAATTTTATAATGGATGGAAGACATATACTGTACATTCTTGATGTATTAGGATAGCTAATCATAAGGCCTTAGCACTCAATAGATTATTCGCAATTGTGTTTGAAAATGTATCCATTTTTCAATGCCTCTGTATGCATTTCTTGCAGATTCTTCAATGTTTTACTACGATGTAAAACTGTTGTTTAAAGCTACGAAAATGTATTCAATAGCCTTCACAAGTAAACGCCTTACGCTTGTATATTAGGTTAGCTCATTAATTAAGCGACCGTAGTCAATGTTGTCTTAAATGCTCTCAATTCAGTAACATTTTTGTAAGTCAATAGGGAATGTATGTAACTAAAAAATACACGTACAAT